TCGATCTCGATCTCGATCTCTATCTCCATCTCCATCTCCATCTCCATCTCCATCTCCATCTCCATCTCCATCTCCATCTCCATCTCCATCGCCATCGCCATCGCCATCTCCATCGCCATCGCCATCGCCATCTCCATCTCCATCTCCATCTCCATCTCCATCTCCATCTCCATCTCCATCTCCATCTCCATCTCCATCTCCATCTCCATCTCTATCTCTATCTCTATCTCTATCTCTATCTCTATCTATCTATCTATCTATCTATCTCTTTATCTCTCTATCTATCTCTCTATCTATCTATCTATCTATCTATCTATCTATCTATCTATCCACATATGCTACCTCTCCTCGTGAAGCGCGTGTTTGTCTTGTCTGTAGAACATATCCGTGTGCTGTGTACCTGTTAAGCACAACACCTTGAGATCGCGCCTGTCGCAGTCGCCAGACAAGTCATGCTTCGGCGATAATAAGTCGTAGAAGCTGCGGGCAGTGCGTTTGCAGGAGTTTTGTGTTTGCCGGTGTGTGAGTGTTTTTTGTTTTCTGGTATTCTGCTGGTACGCGAAGATTTACGACCACGCACGTAATGTTAATAGTAACGGCATGTACAATATCTTCAACAAACATTGAGAAGCCTTTAAGGCCAATGAGGAAACGGAAGATTTCGGCCACTTCCTACTTCGAGCCTCCTGATAGTGTAGAAACATCTACATGAGCTTTCCTTGCTCCTTGGTTTGAAAGTCTGAGTAGCTATCTGGCTTTATCTTGTTTCCATTTCAGACAAGAGAGCTGGCAAATGTATTGCTAACATATAGATGATTCTTGTCAACGGTTAAAGACTTTTCATGTGCTCTATGCAGAACTTCGGCTCTCCGGTTTACTACCTGTACCAACAACATGGGCTTGTTTTGCTAGGAACTCTCAGTGGCTCTTGAAGTCTGGTGAAATGACGGCAGAGTACGTTCGATTTTGTGTCGTATTGATATTGATAGATTAACGCGCTTGTCTGCAAGTTCTGAAAGTTCGAACTCGGAGATCCAGGGGCTTTCATGGGCAAAGCTTTCTCTTGTAGTTTCACTCTAACCCAAACGCTTAGATGAGCTGTTCTACGTTCCATGTTAGCGAAAAGTCGCTCCGAAGCGGCTCGCTGCAGACCAGAAGACTTCCAACATGTCGAGCCGGCTCAAAATTTTAAAAACACAAGCTGACCTCTAAACCTGCTACACCCACCAGGTCCACGACCGGCATTGTATCTATGGTAAAGAGACTGAGTAGCTGAACGTCGCACGTAGAAAAAGAAGAGCTGGATGGACTGAGGAGGTCTTAAAAATATACTTGATGACGAAAGTAGCTGGCAGCTGTGCAGGCCAGTAGATTCAGTAGATGGAATTCCGGCCGCACCTTGACGGCTAATATACAATCCCCACATAGCAAGTCTTGATTCTGCATTGACTGCTCTACGCCATGCAGCCTGCATCCAAAATCCAGCGACGCACACTTGAAAAAGCTCACCGCGAGATAAGTTCACACTCGCATACATGCATTGGGACGAAAGAATCCAGAACGAGTCGACTTTGTTTTGCAGCGTGGAACTCCAGAATTGAATTCGGGAGATAAAGCTTGACCCTCTCTTTGCTTGGAATTCGGCTTTGGGACTTTGATAGCAGCAGTGTCACAAGTGGTCAGAGACAACAACAACATTGCAGACATCTGAAGGCTCCATAGGCTTCGCAAGGCTGGCGAATGACGAATGGTCAATGGTCAACCTGATGCCCGAAAACGGACCATTTAAGGCGAAGGCAGTGAAACAAAAAGATTCGGCGACTAAATGCGCAGCTCACTGCATTGTAAGGAAACGAATGAAATCATTTGTTTGTCGTGTCCACCATTCCGAATCACTGGCGAATGACGAAGCAATCATCATCACCACATCATCATCATCATCATCTTCGTCCTCCTCCTCCTCCTCATCATCATCATCATCATCAGTGTCTTCATCATCATCATCATCATCGTCACCGCCATCATCACCATCTTGTTTGTCATCGTCGTCGTCATCGTCATCGTCATCGTCATCGTCATCGTCATCGCCGTCGTCGTCATCATCATCATCATCACCATCATCACCATCATCATCATCGTCATCATCATCATCATTAGTCTTATTTTCATCTTCATGGTGGTCATCACTAATCGGTGGTGCAGTCGAGCTGCCCTACACAGACACATGGGTTCATGATTTCACTTGAGCATGTCTCTCCATTTATTTGTATACACATTCTCATGTAAACATATTTGTGTATTTCTGTCTTCGGGGTTATTACAGTTTGCTCGGAGCCGAAGCGTGAATCAAAGTACGGTTGCATCCAATCACAAACGCACACATGCATCCAGCTTGAATGTCCTATTGTATATTCGATTATGCACGGTATCGCAAAAGGGCGAACGGCTAGGGTGATTTCGTCGATCTGTGCTTTTCCATGTGTGCTTGTCTCTTCGAAAAGGACACACATCTGGCACGGTGCTACCAGGCGCAGTGCAAAGGGGAAGAAACGACCTTCGGCTTGCAGCATCTGCTCCACAACTCCTTCGACTCGTTTGTCTCTCAGCAGGCGGACAGCATGGTGCCCGCGAGACGGGAGTGTAAGGCCTGGGATTCTTGCGAGAGCTCCAACGGGGCGGCGTGAGAGGGCTGCGGGCATGGAGTTGTCCAGGTTTTTCTGCAGAAGAAGCTCGGCCTGATCCCGGCACCCCGTGCAGTGCGCCTTCCAGACTTGCGCCGGGCTGGTCTGCCGCACCTGCATCTTGCTAGCAGGTCCTGTTCGGCTTCGTGGGGCGGCTCACCTGGCAGAAGGGTGCTGGCCCCAGTCGCCCGAGCTCTGGCCCTGGCTTCTTGAATTCTTTTCCAGGTGTTGACGTGCTGGCGCGTGTGGTGCCCTGGCTTCTTGGCGGCCACGGTCATGGATCTGGTCGAGCCCAAGTTATCCTCATGGGCGAGGGGGAGTGACTTGGCAGAAGACAAGAGCATAGACGGAGTAGGCTCGATGGAGTCTCTTGTTCTTGTGCAACCGACAAATTTGCCTCTTGAAGTTACGAAGTTGCTCGCAAGGCAGAATTACCAGACTTTGCTGAAAGAGCTGGAGCTCCGCAATCGCGGCCATGTCTGTGGCCACACAAGCCGCTTGCTCGAGAATGGATTCCCGTTGTTACATGAACTTCAAGACGAGCCACACGGTCTGGCAGGCTTCAACCCCATCTTGGAACACCAGATGATGGCAGGCCGACTCAGGGAAGATGTGTGCGCCAAGTTAGGACGAATAGAAATTGAGCTGCAGAAGGCTGCGACTTCATCCTCATGCCGTCGCGATATGAGCCGTGCGGTTTGCCTCAGCCGCAGCCTTAATGCTCAGGAGCAGCACAAGCGATGTCGGTTCGCGTTGTGGCATCATCCCACATTGGAGGGAGACTAGGTCGTGTTTCCTCCTCTCTTAAGCAGAATCCCCATGTTTATCCTCCTGTAGGCTGGCGGCCTCCGTATACGGCGCAGTTCCCATCGTCACGGCCACTGGAGGTCTCAAGGATTCCATCCGAGGCCCGCGTGGCCGAAGTTTCGTTCAGTGTATGGGGCTCTGTAGGGTTTTAAGTTTGGGTATGCCGAGTACTGTGAACTCGTGAACTCGTCAGCTCCGCTGCTAGGTCCGCAGGAGGGAGACTCTGCGACGGGCTTCCTGATCCAGCCGCCAGTGAGCGAGACGAGTGTTCGGCAGGAGTCGCGGACTGCCGCAGCATGAAGTAGCGGTTTTGCAACCTGTGCTGTGGGCAGAATCTTGGTATACGGTGTGCTGTGCTTCCAAGCCTCCCGCACAAGCTCAGCCACCAGGCGCTCCGGGAAGCAATGATGGTTTTCTTCCAGCAGCCGAGCCGTTTCCAGTACCTGGGAGTTCAGGAATGTCCCTGTTTGAGTTTTTTGGAGTTAGAGGACTGGCCGCGTGGCAATGTTTGCCATAGTATCCTTGTCTGGGAAGACTCCCTGACCAAGGCAGATGCAGCGTAATGTGCCTTGACTCTGATACCACGCTCGGTAAGGGTCAGGTGCTGCACAGATTACCTGCCCGCAGACTTCAGGTGTATCTGCTCCTCTGAGGCCATGTCGCAGGTTTTTCGCTGGAGCCCGGCGATCGACGAGTACCAGCAACAAATTTGCTTGGCCATGTCAGCTCCAGCGCAGAAGCCGCTCTGAGACTGGAGGACTCCCTGGTTGCCTTAGATCGTTGCCCCAGTCGATGTCGGGCTAATCGCAGCCGAGGACTTCGAGCGAGTGCCCAGGCCCAGGCCTAGACAGCGCACAGCGCACAGCTATGCACCGCTGTTGAAGCTGGAGTCTTATTTAAGAGTGTAAGCAATCATTGAAATTTCTGCCAAGCTGGCGAAAGATGGCTTTCCGTCCGTAACACCCTCACTTTGAGCCTGTCGATATGCGGACCTGGGACCTACCTGCTGGTACTAGATCCTTATATACATAAGGGCCAGGATCTGAAGCTGGGGGTCCCTGACCGTTCCTGTAGGGCCCGCGAGACACGTGGACACTGCAAGTCTGCAAAGTACCAGACTTCCGTTTCAATATGCAGCGTCGAGCGTGGACGATCTGGACGACTGCTTCTTCAACTTTCAAGTTGCTTCGATTTGGACTTGTTTTTTGGTTGCTTGAGAAAGGCTTGACCGATGTCGTCAGAGTACCACGCTCGCCAAGATTTTCCAAGGCCCAGACAGTTCCAAAAGGCTGCTGGCCCCAGATTTGTCGTGGAAATGTTATAGGGCCGTCTTCATCATCTTCACCCAGTGCTGCTAATGTCTTTGAAATAGGAGAGCTTCGACACCCGCAATGATTCGGTCGATAGATTACCTAATCTCTCACAGAACGCAATTGTTGTATCTGCTGTCCCAACTCGCGAAACGTTCCAGCCTTGTGCCCAGTGGCAGCGCTGCCAGGGCGATGCGGGCGCGAGACAGGATGTGTCCTTCCAGTTCGACGGATCCCTTGCGACCCCATCACAGTGCGCATATACATACGTACTCGGCACGCCCCATTACCAAGATTGGTTCATGCCAGACCGCAGCCTTCCGCGTCCGCATGCGGGATCATGCTTGGCCCAGTGAGCCGTGCGGAGCTCAGTGCAAGAGCTTGCCTGAAGCCCAGGCTCTGCCACGCGTGTTTCACTCCCGATGCCAGCTTCCTGCGTGGGGCTGAAATTTCATCCGCGGCCATGCCAAAGTGGCATGCTTGCTCCACGCTCCAGGGTCGTCACGGTCGTCACGGCCCAGCGGCATCTGAGCCCGCTCTCGTTTCGAAACATGCGACTCAGAAAAATCCAGGTTGAACCATGGAAGTCTCCCATGTTTGCGTCCAGACTTCCTAGCGTCGTGCAGACTCGGGGCCTGCACTGACAAACGTCGTCGTCGCATCGTCAGGTGCTTTCTCCACCTGATCATGCCATGTTCTTGAGAGGTGCGAAAGAGCACTGAAGGAAGGAGCCGGGAAGCAGCCCGCTCCTCAGCGTTCGATGCCGAAGTCCCGAATGGCCAGAATCGTGCAGCTGTCAGGTCCGGAGCTGGCCAGCCTATCTGTACAAACTGTCGCTTGGCCTTTTTAGGCTGCTGAAAACCTGAGCAGGGTCAGAGGGCGCAGCTACTTCTTGCCATGCTTCCGAAACTTTGCGTGGGAGAGCCCATTTGGAGCGTGCGGGGTGTTGGAAGTAGTGCACGGACGGCAAGGCTGAAAAAGGCGTTTGTGGAGGCAAAGTCGACAAGGCTCATGCTGCTTGCGGCTCCGGTCCGGGGTAGTGACGGAGCACAGACTAACCTTGGTTGGCAGGACGGACCCCGCAGCTGGACTCGGCACGGCTTCATCCACAGGTGACGCAGCATCTTCGTCTTGGACAGATGTGCTCCTCCATTCGGCGGCATTCAGACACGTTTTGGGCCGGGGCTGCTGTTTTTCCCCTCTTGAGGCCATGTCCCGGCTGCTGTTGGCTCTCAGGATAACTAGTCACAAGCCTGCCCCGTCCTGCGACCGAGCAACATGGTGGCGAAGGGATTGCTACTTGGCGTCTCTGTGATGGCAAGCCGACTTTGATTCGAGCCGTTTCAAATCATCTGGACATGATAGCCAGGAAAAAGAAAGGCGCAGGGACGGCCAAGAAGGTGGCAGCAGCCTGAGGAGAGTCCGAGGAGAGACTTCGCATTGGGCGTGGGAGCGCTTTGCCCCGATGCTTGCAACTGCAGCCTCTGTCTGATCCGAGACTCTGAAGTTCACCATTGACTGCCAGCAGCCAGCGGAAGACACTATCATTGAGCCAAAGGACACACAAGCTCATAAACAGCCTGCGGAGCTGGCACGCCTGCTCTTGTGGTGCTGCATTGATATTCTGCATTGGCACTAGTTCTTTGGAGAGGCATGGCCGTTCCTTGCAGCCGGCAGGACTTCGAGAAGTTCCTGAACAACAGGATCAAGGCAAGAGGACCGAACAACTTCCCCTGACACAAAGCAATCGTTTTTCTGGTGCCCAGTGGCAGGTAGAAGGAAAAACTGGAAATCTGGGTGAGAAGGCGGCATCTTGTGGTGAGTGGTCGAGAGTCCGCGCCCTGTCGCTTGCAAGGTCAGCGTGCATCGGGAGAAGTCCAAAGTCCACGTCACGGCAGAGGCTTTATTGAGTGCAAAGCATGGTAGCTCGCACATCTTCCGATAGAACATGAAGACAATGCATAGATTGTGAGTATCACTTGGCCCGTCTTTACTGTTCCCAGCTCCTCTTTGCGGCGCTGGGTGCTTCTTTGATTACATAGGCAAGTGTTTTTGTATTGCGTCACGCAGGCGCCCTTCTCCAAGCGATACTTGCGGCTCGGTTGACGTGAAGCGTGAGAGTGCCTTCCTCTGCCTTCACGATCGCATGCTGCCGTTTGCTCAGCAGGAAGTATCTTGGAAAGAAGTACCTGAAGGCTTGAAAAGGGTTACTATGGATTCATTCTGTTACTTCAACGCCAGGCTGTGCAGTTTAGCTTGCTCCCCTGCCAGGCCCAGCAGTTGCGGGATTTCCTCCGAATCGTGGCTCCGTCCAAGACATCCTATGAAATGCGTCCAGCACTTGGTTCGGTCTTGCCTGCGGGGAGGAGAGGTCCTGGGACGCCTTCGTAAGTGCTTTGCGGAATGATGCCTGCATGGGGGCAATCTGGCATCGGTTTCGACATCGTCCCAAGCTTTTTGAAGGCGTTCACTAAACTGCTAAACAGCGAGGTTACTTCAACATCAACGACGAGAAGGGTGAGGAAGACTAGCAACTGCCGCCAGACTCTGCTAGACGTTCATGGATCGGCAGCTTGTGACTCAAAAGGCTTCGCCTGCTTTGCACAGTTTGCCGGAAATGCCGCTCTCGTTCGCATCGCAAGAGCTGTATCCGCGGCAAGGTGCTTGAGGCCCATTCACCAGGAGGCCGGGGTTCGGCTATGCGAGAGAGAGAGAGAGAAGGATTGATAGGTAGGTAGGTGTGTGTGTGTGTGTGTGCGCGTGCGTGTAAGTGTATGTGTGTTCGTTGGTTTACGTAGCTTGCTGCTTGCATATACAAGTTTCTTATGCATGCATACATACACACACACACATGGCAACCAATGAACATTTGTATATATATATATATAGATAGATACGTAGGTAGATAGATACACATACAGATACACGCACATACATGTACATATGCACCGCAGATAATGTGCAGACAGGTTTTGTCTGCTGGATGCGACTCAGTTTTATGAACACATCAATAGCTTTCCGGCATACACGCACACACAGACACACACACACACACACACACACACACACACACACACACACACGTATATGTACACGTATCTACGCACACACGCATGCATATATATATATATATACATATTATATATATATATATAAACATGTTTATGTTTATGGGTATGTGTATGTATGTATGTATGTATGTATGTATGTATGTATGTATGTATGTACGTATGTACGTATGTATGGCATGTTCCATCTGATCATGCGGACGTTCTGGTGTATGTGCAACATGCAGAGGTGATGTCGAGACCAGCTGTCATGCAACATTTCCTTGCTGCGGTGCTCGTGCGGTCGCTGCGGCCGTGTTCAGGCAGTAGAATCCCTCAGCCTCCCCTTGATTAGTAGAGTCGGGTGGAGATGGTGGCAACGGGGCTGCTGCATGGTCGCAGCCAGCGCTTCCGTGATGCTGCTTACCTTGAAGGGCCGAGAGCCCTTCAACTAAGGAGGAAGAAGGGCAGCACTCCGGCGAAGAAAGCAGCAGAGATCTCGGAGCTTGTTCTTGGCCTTGTGCTTGGCCGATGTTCGGTCGAAAGCTTTGCCGACCAAGACCTTCAAGTTCACTGTGGATTGCCAGCAGCCTGCAGAAGATACCATCATCGAGCCCAAGGATGCGCCCAGGGCAGGTTCTGTTGCGCTTCGCCCAGAGCATAACATTGACGATGGCGGCTGTCTGTCCTGTTTCGTAGGACTTCGAGAAGTTTCTGGCGAACAAAATCAAGGTCGCCGCAGAATTTTTTGCCCGTGCTGAAATGCCGCCGCATTGTAGCCGCTGTCAGGTAGATGGGAAAACCGGCAATCTTGGCGAGAAGGACACTCGCATCAGAATTCCGGAGTTGAACCTGAGCCTTTAATGGTCAGGTCAGCATCAAGAGGGAAAAGGCGAAGGTCCACGTTACCGCGGAGGTGCATGCGGAAGACTTTTCAGAATGCAACACACCTTTGCTGTCGCGCATGGTGCCCTGCTAGAAAACCTGGATAGCATGTTTATCTGCTCACGCGCCAAGCGCGGAAACCAAGCACCCGCCTGGACACGTTTCCACGCAATCCCCCCTCCTCCAACCCCCCAATGTTATTTCCCGCCCCAACTTGCCAGCCTTGGCCCGCCCCTCTAGTTCCCGTTGAAGCCTCATGTGAGGGAAAGAGGTGTACCAGCTTTGGCGTGCCATGTGTCCTCCCCGTTTTGGCTACCCTTACATGCTTTTTCAGATTTCATCTGAGGGAGAAGCCATGCCACTCCACAGGAGGGCGGGTGTATATAGCATTACCATGGCGGGCGGGATGGATCCATGAATTATATGCTGCATGCCACTACGCCAGTACATCTGGTTCGAAGGCCCCGTTCTCAAAGCGGTACTTGTGCCCCGGCAGCACTCCAGCAAAACTGTGGCGTAAGTGCTTCATGCGGTGTGTCCAGGAAATACTTGGGCAAGAAGTATCTCAAGGCATGTTGGCTGTCTCGCGTGGTGCATCCAATGTCGTCATGAAGAGCAGCTCCAGGGCCAGAAGACTTTCATGCTGCCAACCGCCAGGCGCAACAGCTGCGCGACTTCCTGCGTATCGTGGCGCCGTCAAGAAGCAGCTATGAGATGCGTTGGGGCCCTGTCGGCTGGTGCACTGGGCAAAGAGCCAGATGCCACGTATCCGTGCAGGATACTTCAACATCAATGATGAAAAGAATGAGGAGGACTAGTTCGTTTAGTGACCTAGATATGCCGGATGCTCGAGGGGTCTGCTGCCGTGGAAAATCGTCATGAAACGCGTTTGCGAGTTGGCATCCTCATGTAAAGCAGTGTAAAGACTGGCATTGATAACGCCCGTTGCCATTTGAGGGCGGTTGCCCCCCTTTTCAAGCCAAGCCCGTCCGTGGCAGCATCGACGATGGTAGCAAAAGGGTTGCTCCGTGACTGACCAGAGTAGAACGAGGGACAAACGACATTGCAAGTGCTCAGACGCTTGTTTATCACGATTGCTGCTTGGAAGCAACTCAGGAAAAGAAGAGGCCCCGCATCAGCGAAGAAAGCGGTCTGGAGCTAGGATGCTGAAGATGCTATGACGAAACCTTGAGGTTTGAGTCGTTTGAGTGTCAGAGCTCAAGTCAGGCCCCTGTCTGTTGCAAATACATGCTGAGACGCTGAAGTTCACTGTGGACTGTCAGCAGCCTGCGGAAGACACTATCATCGAGCCTAAGGATGCATGCTGCATTGCTCGGGACGAGGGGTCATTCTGGGAGAATGCCCGTGGATGCCCAACTTGGGTGAAGGACTTTGAGAAGTTTCTGGCCAACAAGATCAAGGACTCGTCTGCTTGCAGCATCAGTGCACAGATGTCGCGAAAGACCGCAGGTAGATGGAAAGACCGGCAATCTGGGAGAAAAGGCCAGCACTGAGTTGAAAGAGCCAGTCCACAACGACTGACTTCGGCCGTCGGCCTCGCGTTGCTCTGGAATGTTTTTGGGGCAGGTCAGCATTCACAGGGAGAAGGCGAAAGTGCATGTCACTGCGGAGGCCGTGCCATTTCACGAAGAGCCTCTGCCTTTTCACACGTGGATCTAACCGGCCCCGAAGAGCAAGCTTTCAACATGCGGAATGCGCGGCAAACGCCAGCAGACGATCGGGCATGCTCGGTTCTCTTTTGTCAGCTTCGTGCCGCATGTCGCAGCGCAAACCCTACGCAGGCTCCTTTCTCCAAGCGATACCTGCCTCTTTGCCAGCAGCTACGGTTGGGGGGTCCTCCGATGTCATCAGACAAAGGTCAGGGTAATTTGGTTCATGCCTGGTCACCGGAAGGAAGTATCTGGGCAAGAAATACCTGAAGGCGGACTTGCTCCGCATCTGGTGCTCCAGATCTGCTTGAACCCAGAATTTGGCCAGTCGCAGCAGCTGCGCGACTTCCTGCGCATCGTGGCTCCGTCGAAGACGTCCTACGAGATGCGCTTGCGGCTGAGCAGCCTTCTGGCAGTTGAAGTTGTTTCTACTCTGGACAACACATGGTCTGCAGGCTAAGCAACATCAACGATGATAAGGGCGAGGGGGAGCGTCACTGAGAGTTTTCCACCACTTGCGACCGTCCGAGTACCGTGCGCCACGGAGACATGTGCTTCGAGGACTGAACGACTGGCTGAGCGCTTGACTGGGGGGGACTGCCTGTGGCGAAAACTGCTCCGCAAGCTCAAACTGCACGCCGGGAGCCTCTCTGGGAGCACTTCTCCGGCAGGCAGCCTCGACCCGGCCGGATGAGCATCCCATGCAGGCCTGAGACTGCCAAGCAGGTACTCTGCGCGTAGATTTGTAGGAAGCTGCCTTGGAGATAGGGACTCAGGAGTGAGTTGTTTCTTTTTTGTCAGCGCACGGGCTCAAAAATCGAGTCGGTTCTCCGGTTTCCCAGTATCCTGCGCATGTACATAGCGTACTTTACATAGCTGCTGGAGGTTGAGGAAACATGCCAAGTGAGAATGCCCAATAGCTCCACTCCAAAGGAGTGCCTGATGGTTTCTGCGGGGTAGATGCTGTCCGGAATCCACAACCGCAGCATTTTGCACGAGGCAGGTGTCGCCATACAGCGATCCTGTGCCGTCGCCGTTGCTCACGAATTAAAGTGTTCGAGTCCCCAAGAAAGCCAGCTGAACTTCAGACAAAGCTTACGTCGCCGGACAGAGAAGGCTCTGCAGCGTTCTGGTCAAAGTTTGTGCAGATGAAAGAAACTGTTGGAGCCTCAGCGAGGCGAACACAACCTGCCAGCACGGTCCGATTGTGGGAGATGTCAGAACGCTCACAAGACTCTTTGCGCAGGTTTCTTCATGTCTGTTGGCCCTGCAAAGCAGGAGGTAGACGACCAGACCAAGATGTTGTGCAGAGTTTGCTTGCCTGCATCGTCACCCCCGGCAAAACGGATATGTCGTGATTGTGGCTGGGTTGTGCTTGGATTCCAGATCTGCGCCTGAATCAGCGTGAGTGCATTCCGAGGTGCCGGGAAGTGGACGGACATGTCATGTGGAGTGGAAGGGCCAGTTTCCGAGGCATGTTTAGTTTCCACACGTGCTTTAGCTACTCTGACTGCAGCCAAGCAATGTATGCGCCCCTGCAAACGGCGGTACCCGGCATTGCAAGTTCATCATGACTCGCGGAAAGCCGGGGATACTGGCACGACGTTCCAGCGCATGCAATGGGAATTGGGACGACCGGGCCGTTCAGCTTGAAAGACCTTCATGGAGTGCTGCTGGGCCGATTCTTACGGTTAAGAGTTTTCGTGCATGCCGGTGTTGATGCTGGGCTCCGGAATGAGCGAGGCTGCCGCGCTGAGCAAACGTTCAAAACTTCCTAAGCCGCGGAACTTACGAGCACAGGCTACCAGCAAAGCTCCGGGTTCTCTCGCCAGAGACGCAAAGCGAAGCTGAGCTTTGGTGGAGGCGTGACAGCAAGATGTGAGACAATGGGCATGTGTGAGTCCTTCCTTTGGTGGTTGAGGCTTTGCAGCTCGGGCAGCAGGTCGGCTCGTGGGAGCTTCGGGATTTTCGGGGATTGGAATGGAATTCCTGCCTGGAAGGTTCGGGACGTCGACCTCATCCACCTCATCCGCCACGCCGGCAAGCAGATGCTGGGCAGACAACAGCCGAGCACGAGACGGCTCAAGTAATTCGAGCAAGATCCAAAGTGGCTCCTTCGGTTTTTTGAAGGTCTTGATGCTCTTAGCATGGTGCAGCATGTGCTCGGGCAGAGCTGTGGAAAGGACTGCGTTCATCGTTCCAGCTCTTCTTTACGGAGGCATGTCCCTCAAGAGACACATGTGTGTCAAACGCTGGCTGCTTGAAATCTGTACAGGAGCCGCAGGTCTACGACACGGACGCGGACCATGATGCATCTTGTCTGACAGAGTAGCAAGCGCAGACCTCCCTCTTCGGCAAGCTTGGAGCCCAGTTGGACGATGATGACCCGGTGGCAGAAGAGGAGATGGCCGAGAAGGAGGAGGCGCCGTTTACGCTAGCCTGGGGCGCGTCGGACGCTCCGGTGTCTCTGCCACAGCCATGTCATGCCTGCGAGGTCCTCAACGACACACTGGGCAAGGCAAAGCAGGCAGTGATCCGGACAGAGCTGCATTTACAACAAAATCGCCTTCAGAGCCGAAGCCGCAGGTGGTCGACGTCTTGAAGCAGCTTGGACAGAACATGTTTTCTGCTCTGGGTGGTGGAAGTTCGAGTGGGTGTTTAACGTTTTCCCAGGCTCCCCGAGTGATGTTCATACCACTGAGCGAAGCAGACGACAGTGGCTTTCAGGCGTGTCGACACCGAGATGGATGCTGCCAAGGTGCACCGGGCTTGATCGGAAGCATCCCTGACAGCCCATTCTTTCTTCAGCCGCGTTGTGTGCGTTTTCTGGAATCTCCCGTCAGGCCCAACTGGTCGAGATTGGTGCAAAGGCTCCCTGTCCTTTCCGAAAGCAGACAGCGAAGTGAACTCCTGCAGGCCATCGACTTCAAAGCCCGCTTTCGCTTCCGAAACGCAGCTGCTACAGTGATTCGGCTGTTGGAATGGTTCGGGGAAAACTTGAGGCCATCCTCGATATTCGAAAAGCTGCCAGAGGCGAAATGCTTACATAGATACCGGTACTCTTCTGGACTCTCACCCGAATACCGTTTCCTCGGCTCCATGCAAATTGTGCCTTTTGTCAGGGCGGCGTTTCGCAAGCCCAGGCGAGCGCCGCTGCACAGCTCGTGGGTCAGCCTGGCGAGGTCAACGACAAACTTCGGGCCATCTCAGAGGCCCCTGCCGAGTTTCCTGGACTGAGTTGGCCCTTTTTTCCGGACTTTTCAGGAAGCCCAACAGCTGGAAGACCAGATGGCCTACACGACCGTCGGCAGTCCTTTTCGCTACCGTGTGCGGCTCTCCAAACTCGCAGGCGCGCACCAGGGTCGCCGGGCCACGCGCTCGCCGGCTCTCTCGGCACCGTGCTACGTGCGTCTCAGGCGAGGCCGAGCGCGCTGGCCAGCTGATGGAGACGAGGATCCAGAAGCTGAAGGAAGCCTTGAGGAGCGCTGAGCTCGCGAGGGCGCGTCTTTTCAAGGGCTGTCGTGACAAGCGACAGTCGAAGCAAGGATGCTCAAGAATGCCGGCGGAGAGTTCGTGGACGACAATTTGGAGCCCGAAGGTGAGGGCGAGGAAGGTGAGGAGTTTGACGAGTCACCCCCCCAGAGGGCTGTGACTGCGCAGTGCGCCATGCCTTCTGTGACTCCTTCTGTGGAAAGCGGAAGGTCCGCGCCGCTTCTGACAGAAGTCCAAAGTGATGCTGTCGAAGTGGGCATGCATGAGCACGAGAGCCCCGGAAGAAGTTTCATCAACTATTCTTGCATTCTGTTCCTGAACTGGCTTTTCTTTGTCCTGGTCAACTGCGCCCTGATGTCGTGGCCTCCAGGAATTATCCCGACCAGGGCCATGGCTGGCAAGAGCAGGGCCACTGGCCAGAGCAACCTGCACAACCTGGCCAAGCTGCGTGACTTGGCTGTTTCTGTTTCTTGCTTTTGAATCGACCCCAAGCTTACTTGCACCCATTCGCACCCTTCTGAATCTCGCAGAACAAGCGAAAAAGCAGAGGATGTTTGGGCAGCCTGGGCAGATGCCCCTGTCGCCCTCCAGCTGCAAAATGCTTCAAAGCCATGCCCATTTTTTCTGCTTGAACCCTTCTTGGGAATGCGAGGATGTTGGGCATGGACCACCAGATGCAGATGGGCCACCAGATGGGCCCCCAGATGGGTGCACCAGGGAAGCTTGCCTGCAGCGGCTTTCATGCATGCGCCACCGACTGCACAATATCTGCAATCAATCGGTTCTAAGGATGGGGCTGCCTGGGTCAGGCATGGACATGCAGCCTGGGACGCCAGGGTGCCTGTGATGCAAAGCTTCATGCCTTAATGTCCTAGAGAGAACAGAAAACTGACACCGCACGTTCATGGAGCCTGTCATTTCCGAGTGGCACCATTCGGCTAGAAATCTCAGCGCGGTCAAGACGACGGTGCTAGCTCCAGCCTCTCAATTCCGTGGTGCTAATGCTGCTGTACAGCGTTTGTGTGTTTGCTCTAGACTTGTGCTTCCGAGGATGGCTGGACATGAGCATGGACACTGGCACGGGCTGCGCTCTCAGCATCTCTGCATGCAGGCCCAGTGTCAGTGTAGCACCACCATAGCACCTAAGGTCCCATCTGGACCCAGTCGAGCAGGCTGCCGAGCAGATGGCGGTGGGGGAGAAACTCGGCCTGCATGGTTGGCACATCCCTTGAAACCTGTTTCAACGTTTCAAGCTTTGGCATCTCTGGCCGCGTCTTGTAAGCTAAGGCGAATGGAAGAGGCTGAGGCGTGGGCAAAGCATAAGCATTGCTTTAATGTGTGCCCAACATGATGGTGATCGGGCACGCGTTACGCAAGGGCACAATATGGTTTGGTCCAGGAGACGGCTATGTCCGGGGTGACGGCAACGAGGGAAGACGAAGAGGCCGCGCAACAGTCATGCACCCGTCGCGGGTGCTGTCATCTCCGAGTCCGTGGTTTCCAGGCCACTGCCAAAGAGATGGAAGATACCATGGAGGAGAGCCGGTCATGGACATTCAGTGGCTTTTGGGGCCCTCAAACTCAAAGTGCAGAGCTTGCCGAGGACACCACCTGGTCCATCGACGTGCTCCCCATCCCTCAGCCATCTGACGTAGAGCCACAGGACTACCAGAAGCATCAGAAGCCTTCAGAACAAGCAGTTTCCCGTTGCACGACTGAGCCTCCAGGAACCGGCGCCCGACGGCGTTCCACCGCTGCCGGTCGCGGAAACTTCAAGCGGCTGTCAGTGTAGCTGGGCTGCTATATGTTAGCGCTGTGTGGTCAAAGAGCCGCACCAAACAGCTGCATAAAGTCACTATTGTGAGTGGCGGGTGGCGTTGCCGGGACGGGTTGTGTCCCGAAATTCCTCGCAACGTGTGCTGAGGTGATCCCACGGCCAAGTGTGCTCTTCAAGGCCAACCCTTCACCTGGTGCCGCGTTGGCAGCGAAGAGGCCGTCTTGCATCCCGTGAAAGTCTTGGAGCGTACAGCGGCTCGGGATTTGGGCAGGAGCCCACCTGCGCAAAGCTGGATGTGGCTGAAGACCCTACCGGCCGCGACCATGCCTTGGGTGTGAAGGGAAGGCGGAGATTGGGGTTGCCACTCGTGTAAGAGTGCTTGTGATGTCTGCCAACTCGCCATGCGTCTGAGAGCACATCTTGGCGGCCAGGCAGTGGGATTACTGTCCTTCGGCAGCAACGGTGTGTTGCTGGAAGTTCGCACGGAAGTGATGAAATCAACCATTCGTCTCAGCGCTTTGTTGTGCCCGAGGTGTTCCTCCAGCACCCGTTAAAGAAGAGGAAGGCAACGAAGGTGGCGTGATTCCCAGAAGGGCCTCTGCAGAAGCCGAGCGTCCGCCTTCTCAGCGCGCACAATTCTTTCGAAAATGAATGAAACTCTTGAGGTGAGAGTGGTGGCCAAGAGTTCCAGCAATGGGAGGGGGACCAGCAGTATGGCCATAGCCTCGGTGCACATACGACATGACGGTTGTTCGATCGGAAACTTGGAAGCTTCTGCTCGTCATAATGGAGGCGGTGGCCACGATCAGTTCGGCGGCCCAACCGGCTTCTATGCCCAACAAGGCATTTCTCCCCCACAATCCCCCTTTGGAAGTTCTTGATGGGAACCTTGGTGCTTTTCCGTCATGGTCGAGGCGCTGGCCACGGCCAATCGGGCCACACCTTACCAGGTCTTTGTTTAGCATTCGCCACTTCGAAGGTGTACGTGTGATGTCCTGATCGAATTCTGGCCATGATCGAGGCTCTTTCTACGATCAGTTCGGCGGTCTGGGCGGTGGTCAAGGCCAATTCGGAGGCGGCTCAACTTGCAAGGTCACGTTTCTAGCATTGACCGTTTCGAGGGGTGCACCTGTGATTGATGCTTCTTGAGCGGAAACTTGCTCTTCGTCATCCATGCAGGTGCTGGCTACGACCAAGTCGGCTACAACACGCAAGGTCACGTCTGCAGAAGCCACTCCTTCGAACAAGGCCCTGGGTCTTCAAAAACTTTCCAGGTGTGACTGGCTACGATCCTTACACTGGCACGAGCCTCGGCTTGGGACACAGATGGTGTTCTATGGCTCGTGCTGACAAGGTGCCCATTTCGATCAGACGGGAGGCCATGCTCTGAGATATACTTCGGGGCAAAATGGGCAGTGCATGTGGCTGTCGTACCCGCTGTCGTGGGACGCCTGTTGTTGCTTGTGATGGCTTTGGAGGGCTGCTACGCATGAGGTTATGACCAGCCGTTTGAGGATGAACACGGCCGCTTAGCTCAGACTGCTGGTGCATGGCCGCAGGAATAGATAGACACACACACACACACATACGCACACACTGCAGCTCGCATCATACAAAGGTGGTGAGGAGGAGGACGGGTTGCTCGTGAATGGCACCAGTCATCTGATTCAGTGACACTAGCACCGTATGACCGACAAGATACCATCGGAATGTGATTTCAATCATTTCGTGTGGGTTCACGATGAGGATGAGGCGCCGGAAGAGGAATTGTAACCTGCCTGAATGCTTTGCATCATGGCATCTTTTCATGGCGTGGTGCAGCTTGGAGCCGATGTATCATTGGCTGCTAAGGACTTCTCATTTGGGCTGTGAGTGTGCGCCGCGCCCCGACGTGCTGGATAGATACATGGATGACCCCCTCTTCCACAACTTGGACCGTCTGGTCGAAACAGCATGGAGAGGCAGAGGGCTGCTGCTGTTGAGCACGAGCGATGCTTGCGAAGGAGACCGGCGAAATCGACATCGAGAAGATTCCGTTCAAGGATCGGATCGCAGTTGAGGCCATGCAAAACTACCAAGAGCAGCCTGGCGGAAGCGGGAAGTGGTGGCCTATGAGGGTGGTCCGGACTCGTGGGGACTCTCTAAGGAACGGAGGAGATCTATGCCAGCAAACTCCTCACAGTGGCGAGTTCCTGGTGTGTCCAGCGGCCAAGGGTTGCGTTTGGCACTTGGTGCGCAATTCAGTTGTGGGCCGGAGTCTGCTCTCGAGTTCCTGATTGCCCCAGGCTGGCAGCAACGTTGCTGGCCCAGGCTTGATTGCACCCGCGTCCCTTATGTCGCCACATGGAGCATTGCCAACACTGTCAGTAGTTGAGGGGTGGCACGAATAAGCTGCGGATTCGGCTAGCGGCCAGGTGGAGCTCTGCCCAGTGGCTGGCTGCATGCCCAGATCGGCGCACAAGCCATGGCAGAAGGGTTCTTCCATCGAGCATCCGAAGGGGCAGCTGAGCGCTAAGGTGATTGTAAACGATGATGGCGGTGAAAGATGTCTAAACCATAGGAGAAATCGATACGAAGGTCTAAAAGATATAAGATACCCAGCGCGTATGTGACTCAAAGATTCATTGAGTTGTCGGTGCGCACATGTCGTTTCTAGTCTCTCGGGTCTGTTTTTTGCATGCGGTTTGTTTTGAGCTAGATTGTGCCTCACATGCTGCCCCCAATGTCCCCTATAGAGTTTGTTATACGTGAAGGCAGCATCAAAAGCAGGGCAGGGCATAGTGGCGCACACCAGCGCTAGTGACAAATGGTAGGAGCACGGAGCAACATCATGCATGGTGTGACGAGAGCCCTCAGAAGTCTTTCCCCCTGAGGTTTTCAGGAGTGAGCGGCAAGAGCTGGGACTTCTGCGCGCCGGCAAGGGTCCTAACTCAGAGCCGCGGGCCGTGTTAGAGCAACGCAGCCAGCGCAGCCTTGTGACCAAGGCGGCGAGGCCAGCTGAGTCAGAGGCGAGCGTGGCAGAAGGCCTCCGAAGACGAGCACTTTTCTTCTGATTTACCTTGCCAGGAGCCTGGAGAAGGCTCGCCCATTGCAGCGCTCAGGGTGGAGCATTGATGATATTCCCCTATCATTCGACTCTCCGACTCTCTCTCTCTCTCTCTGTCTCTGTCTCTCTTCTCGCTTCCTGCCCGTCCGCTGCGGGTCTTGCTGCTTTCACGTGATGCTTCTGTTTGAATCGTCTCGGCGTATGTCTGGAATGATGGTGGCCTTCAATCAGCGGACGTCAGCGGTGTGAGAGGTGTTGTCAGATTGGCATCAGGCCCAAAGGCCCGAAGCTTGAATCGCTGCGTCGCTTGGCTCTGAGGCGAACTGGGCTTCGACCAGCTCGACTCCAAGAGAATTGCACAGTTTCACCGGGCCAGTCCGTAGCTACAGCCTGAAGCTAAGTTCTTGGACTAAGGACAGGCAACGGCCAGTACGGCTACGACCAGCAATATGGTGCTTATGACCAGCAAGCGATGCACTTTCAGTGCGTTCCCGGAGCTGTGCCGCCAGCTTAGTTATCTGTGGGCTGTGATCCTCGCGCCGGTTCAATGTCGTTTCTCGTGGCCGAGGACCTTCTTGGTGGTAGCTTTGCATCGACTGCAGAGATCAAGTAAGAGCGCCAAAAAGGGCTCTTTTCTGTGAGTCCAAGCTGGGCTTTCCTCGCTTGGGCGAGCTGGTTCGTTTTCCATTGAGTCGTTTTGCTCCACGTGAAAATCACGAGACCTTGCCTAGTGGTCGGCGAGCTTCGGCCGATGGTCCTCCGGCTTGCTCCAAGCGATGCCGAGCTCTCCTCGACCTGCTCTGAAACGAAGAAAGCCCCCCAACCTCCCACGTCCGGCCATCCGCATCGCTTCCTGTGCTGCCCCAGCTGCCTGCAGCGTGGCTAAAGCCCCTGACAGGCGCGAGTGTCGCATGTCACCTTTCATCGGAAAAGGTTGCAGCAGCATGAAGGAAATGGCATCTTTTTGGCGGCACCATCTTATAAACAGCTCTCTTGGAGAACACATGTCTGTGCTCTGTTGCTTTCTGGTCTCCTTGCAGCTTAGAGTTGCGCACATGTGCCCACACCCGTCACTTGATAGATCCTACACGTGCACGACTGCACCAGCTACCTCACCCGAGACATGAGCCATGGCACACACGCAGGTTTCAAACACACCGATAGCGATAAGAGCAAGTTGCGTGGCCATGAGATGCCTTCTTCTGGCGTTTCTGAGGCTGCAGGAAGGTCGACCGCCCGAGGACATTCTCAGCGACCGGTCACCTGCCTATGGTTTTTTTGGTGGCAGGCACGGCTTCGCATCGACTTCTCCCAAAGCTCTGTCCAGAATGCTTGGCGGAGCCTTTGGAGACGGACTATTTTGGAGGTCGGAGGGCTGGATCGGTGGATCCCGCGTGCGGGTTAGACTTCTGGGGGCAGACAGGAGTACCCGGCGGAGAGCCCCCGCGGCTGCGCGCGCCGACGCCTGCGTCCTTCGATGCAGCAGCTCGTTCTGGCAAGGCCGGGCTCAGCCACGGCTCCCAGAACAGCTCTTGCAGTACGCTTGCACTGCGGTTCCTCTGCCAGGTGTTAATCTTGGAGAACGCCTCCAGCGGTGCCGCTCTGGAGGGTTGGACATGTGAACGCCTTGCGGAGGAGCTTCGGCCGATACCGCTGCGTTGCTGTTGTTAAATGTTGTTGACCTGCTTTGTGCTGGCTGGATTGAGGAAGATAGGCGCCATGATGTCCTTCTGAAACTCCTTCCTATTGCGAGGCTAAAGGCTCTTGCTCTGAACATGCCTACGCAGCTCTCACAACGACCGAGGAGTTTCCGGAGGCCAAGATGCGCAGAGAGTACGACTGGGTCAAGAATCCCAAGGCCAGGCCCACAGCCTCTCAGCGGATGCTAGAGAGTTATATAAACAGTTATGGATGCACGAGATGGATGGAGGGACGGACGGACGGATGGACGGACCAGACAGACAGACAGACGAGAAGATAGATGGATAGATAAATAGGCAGACAGGCAGACAGACCGACGGACAGACAGACGGTCGGACTTGCGCAGATGCCTGGTGGGCAGGATCTCAACACCCAGGAGATGGGGAAGGTCGCTTGGGCTTCTTCCCGGGAGATGGGGGAAGATGCCCAGGAGCGGCTTCAACAGGACCCAGATGCTCCGCCGTTTGCGCCCTTCTACTGGGGCGTAAGGGAACACAGAAATGGCGACCTTGGATCGAAGAAGGTGGTGAAGCGGATCCGTCAGCTTATCAAGGATTCCGTCCCATCTTTCATGGACCAGGAAAATGCAGAGTCTCTTTTTGAACATGCAGAGTTCTGGCTTGGTGCCAAAGGCACGGGTGCGAGGGCGCACATGGATTCGCATTGCATTAGCACGCTCAGCGTGGTTTTGCACGGGGAACGGCGCTGGCGCATCGGACCGGTGCCACGACTGCCAAAGGGAGCGGGGCGATCTCCAGATGACGAGGTCGTTTTCGACGACGGCGTGGCCTACAAGCTCGGATGGAAGCCGATGTTCGAGTTTACAGTCAAGGAAGGAGAGGCGGTGCTCTTCCCCCCAGGCTGGATCCATGAAACCCTGAACACTGCGGACGACTGCACTGTGGCGCTTACAACGCAGTTCGTCTTTCCCACGCCTGTCCGGTACTACCGCTCCTTCTACAATCGTCTGAGGCGAGTCGGCGACTTGAACAGCTGCTGGCGTGATATGATGAGCTGGGCGGGTGCGAAAGTCCCCAAAGGCGATGCCAGAGCCTTGGCTGAAAAAAACTATGGCGAGATTGAGCAGAAGACGAAAGCCCTCGAGCCAAAAGAGCTCGACTTCTTCGATCTTGACGAGGACAAAAGCGTGAGCAAGGAGGAGTACGTGCAGACTTTCACTGCATGGGCTGCTACAGAAAAGGCAATAAGAAAGGAGAAGCGAAAGCACCTGCCCAAATGCGAGATGAGTTGGGATGACCAGGTGCCTGGACAAGTGCTGCTCTTCTGTGTAGAGCATGTGGCCTTGCGCTTGCGCTTTCCCATTCCCAACCCCCCTCATCCCGAAGGTGCTTCAGCGCGCAGACGAGCTCTGAATGTCACACTGGCAGGTCAGCGTCTCTTGTGTTGAAGCACTTCAAAATAGATGGCCTGTCCCGCATGGATCGGTACTAGAAGCATTTCTGGAGCTCTGCTGTCGCTGAGATGAAGGTCCGATTTTCTCGTTGTTGGAGTGTTCAGAAGATGAGTGCAGCCACTAGTAGAAGCATGCACTGCTTTTGGTACAGAAAATCAAGCAGCCGTCGCCAGCTTCTTCACGGGCATTGCTCTAGACTCTAGACACGCTACCCCTCAACTCCAAAAATGCACAGCAGCAGCCACCTGACATAACCAATGGGAGAAGCTCGCGCCTAGCTCGCCCTGCCCAGTGCCATGGGAGAACCTCGGCTGCACACGGCCAGGACGAGCGAGGCCTGGTCTTGTTGAGCTCGCAAGGACTGGGCAGCATATGCTGCGGCTCTGCGGGCCCTGGTGCTGGCCCAAGCTCACGGAATTGCTTCCTGCGATGCTGGCAGCGCTTCTTTGAGTCAGGGTAGGGCATGCCCGTTTTGGGTTATTACATCACCGTGAACATATATAGGCCATATAATCACAACTAGTAGCCCATTGTCCTTAAAATACTCTATCTCATCCTATTTATCAGGTGATGTAACATCCCGAAACGGGCAAGGTTAGGGAGAAAATATATTTGAGTGGGTTCGGGCTTGTTGGGGCTGTTGTGGTTTCAGGTTGGTCGCTTGTTGTGTATCAACGTGAGAATCGATTGCATTGTGCTGTGCTGCCCTTCTTCTCCTTCGAACATAGACAGAAGCCTTCAGCCATGTTTGAACTGGCACACACGATTGTGCAAAATTCTATTTGAGCGTAACATAGTCTACCAATGATAATTTAATTGTATTATTAAATTATTATTGAATGCCCCACCCTACTACCCATACAATGAACCATAAAATGAATAACCCTAAGCTTGCCCATTTCGGGATGTTACATCACCTGAGAAATAGGATAAGGTAATATACTAAGCTAGTAGTTACTAAATATATGTTAGAACATATATGATAAATTGTATTTTGAAGATAACGAGGTATTATGGGGCCACGGTGATGTAATAACCCAAAATGGGCACAGCCTTCCCTGACTCTTTGAGGGGGTGCCGTCTGCACCAGCGACTGCAGCACCAAGTGTGGTCTTGGCCTCAGTCCTGTGACCTCTCCGGCGGGCTAGCTTAGCGGCACTGTGTTTGCATGCAGCTGTATGGCTCTGCGAAATTTGCAAGACAGACTTGACCTGATGCCTATGCACACCGGCTGTCCACGCCCCAACACACCAGCACCTCCAGGCCTGCACCAACCGTTCGGTCCTTCGAGCATAGCTACTGTACAGGCTGAGCCATCTTTTCCACACCCCAACTAGGCCTGAGCTCATGTACTGTAGTCCAACCTTTGCGGAATCACTTGCGTGCGTACCGTTGCGCCGAAACATGTGTAATGTCGTAGTTGTTAGGACAAGCTGAGCTCTCATGACTTTGGAAGTGCATTGACCCTTTTCCAGTGGCAGGGGTTTTGAATGTCGTTTCGCCGGCCAGTGCGCATCAGTCTGTGGCAAGGTGCCCTGGAGGCGCCGGAGGTTACGACATGGAAACGCCAGCTTCGAAAGCGCGCGCAGGAAGCGAAGGCCAAGGGGGCCGAAATCCTTCTGACGCCAGAGCTCATGCTGCCGGGGTACGACGTCTTTGGGAAGCAGGGGTTCGACCTGAATCCCAAAGACGTCGAAGAGGAAATCAAGAAATGTGCGATGGAAGTCGGCCTCGTGCTCTGCGTCGGATATGCAGAAAGCATTGAAGAAAGAGACAGGGCACCTGGCAAAACTCACTGGAATACAGCTCTGCTTGTGGATTCCCACGGCACCGTGGTTCTGCGATACAGGAAGCACCATTGCTGGGGGAATGAAGGTAATTTGGGACTGCAAGAATCCTCTGACTATATCTGTGTTGCGAACTTGAAGCTTCCAGATGGAGCATCGATACGAACCTCCATCCTAATTTGCTACGATGTCGAGTACCCTGAGATGGCAAGGATCGTGGCCTTGCAGAAAGCAGAACTCATTCTCGTGCCAACGGCACTTCCGTACACAGAGCCCAATGTCAGCACGAAGATCATCCCGGCGACTGCTATGCAGAATCGACTCTTTATCGCTTACTGTAACCTTCCCTGCTTGCCGCGTGTAAGTGGAGAGTACTTCGCTGGCCACTCCTGCGTGGCGGGCCCCGATGGCAACCACTGGGCCGGGCCTATGGGATGGAGCGACGAGCCTCGGCTGCAAGATTGCAAAGCCACCTGCGCCTCAGAGTTTCCAGGCATCTGGGAGCTAAGGAAGGGCTGCTGCATTGTACAATTGGGTGGACCGAGGAGCTTGCCTACCTCACGCGTGAGACGCCATACCTTTGCGACCGCAGGCCTAAGTTCTACGCGAGTCAAGGATTGTGTCAATCTGGCGACCAGAAGCCTTCTTCCTATGAAGAGTTCTACGGTGTCTAAGACACCAGAGCAGTACTTCCAATCCATCTCGCAATGCCCGTCAAGTCCGGTCATGAACCTCCCTCCTTTGGGTGCTCAGAGTTCTAGGCTGTGCAGTATTTGCTGAGTTGAGGCAGCCATCCCTGCAGCTCCGGGATCAGCCGGAGCCGTAGACATCGGGAGAGTCTTAGTTTTTCCAGCAGGCAGCAGAGACTCGTTTCTTTGACAAGGCCGTGATGCAAACACTCGTTCCTGGTGCGAGTGCTGTGGGAGGCTTAGGTTTAGACCTCACTGGGTATGAAGTTCGAGCAAGATCTTGCGGGGCGATCGCTCCAGTGCTGTGCCTGGATGCCAGGTGGGACAGCCGATCGGGGCATCTCCAGTGGCAGCGGTATTTGCACAGCCAGCAGCTGCACCTTTAGCTGCGACCTCGGGCAGACACATCCGGACATTCAGAAGGGTCAAGAGAATCTTCCTCTCAGACTTTCAGCTTTTCGCTGTTTCAGCAGAATCTAAACGAACCGTAGCCATTTTGGCCCCGAAGCTGTTCGAGCAGGTCTCCGATATCGCCCATAGCTTTTCTTCGATGGCTCGCTCGTCGAGTGTCCTTGCAGGCGGCCTGCTCGGTGCTGCCTCTTTGGGAGGCCTGGCCTTCCTGGCTCCCGGCCAGAGCCGCCAGCAGGTCGCAGTGCAGAGGGAGGTCGCTGTGGCTGCGCAGGCTGCGCAGGCCCCGGGCTTCTTGGCATCCACGTCCAGCAGCGGCAGTGCCACGCAGGGCGTCGCGGGCGCCTTGGCCGTGGCCGGCTTGAGCGTCGCTGCCGTGAGAGGTGCATCTGCCGCATCCCGGCAAAAGGGCATCAAGCCTCGCGCGGCCAAGAGCGTCGTCGCCTGCAACTCCTTGGCAAAGCTGAAGATCGACGAAGTAGACCTGAAGGACAAGCGCGTCTTCATCCGTGTTGACTTCAACGTGCCGCAGGACAAGAAGGACCCGAACATCATCACCAACACGGCCCGAATCGATGCGGCCCTGCCCACCATCAAGTATGCCCTCGACAACGGTGCCAAGTCCGTCGTGCTGTGCTCGCACTTGGGCCGCCCCAACGGCCAGAAGGACGTGCGGTTTGGGGTTTACGTTGTATGGTTCCCGGAACCCTACACCATTGGGTATTGTATCCTCACCCTCCCTCTTGTGGTCTCTTTCGTAACCATTGAAGTCCACCAACTAGTGGAGGTAGTTAAGAGAGTGAACTTTGATGCACAGAAGACTTCCCTCTACTTAAACTTAGTTGGTTGTACTCTCTTGCAAGGTTCTTGTTGGCTTGACAGTCTTCCAATTGCTTGGTTTCACTTCTCAGCGTACCTCCAACCCTTTGCCTCGCCTGGATGGTCCGAGTGTGAGCGCCGAAACCGCATGCTGCTGCATGAGCTCGGAGATGGTGGTGATAAGTTGATTTTATGCCCTGGGGAGTGAAACACTGCATGACTTGTTTGACGGCTCCGGATGCCTGTGGGTATTTCCAGCTGCATGAGTTTGCATGTCCTGGCTGGGAATTCACGCGAACGAGGCGACATCACAATGGGTGGCTATCGGCCAATAGCATCGATGCTCCTCCTTTTGAATTCTTATCTGCATGATGACACTACGGAGAAGTATGATCCTGAATACTTGCATGACTGGCACAGCGAGGTGGTTCCCGGACAAGACTTTGTGAGCCGTACGATATTGAACACGGTGTCCTTTATCGGTCCTGAACTGAATTGATCCTGCATGCTTCACAGATCGAAGGAGATAGAATATTTTGAAACAAATGAGTAAGTCAAAAGCCACCAGGGTGAATGGCCCAGGTGAGTGGATGTGCGTTAGCGATGGACTATGCGACGACTGTCTTTCTCTACATCTTATGTCTTATCTTTCTAATTTGTCATGTCTGATGCACGCTGGTCCATGCAGATGTCATGTCCAAGTAGCAAGCTCAGACCGAACACGCCATGCCTGCCATGTGCGAGTGTGTGAGTCAAAACCGCATCCTGCTGTCTTCACTTTCATTTTTGCACTTTCCAGGATGAGAAATTCTCCATGAAGCCGGTGGCCAAGGTGGTCGAGGAGAAGTTGGGACGGCCTGTGAAGCTGATGAATGACGTAGTCGGCGAGGAGGTCGAGGCTGCGTGCGCAGACCCGGAGCCGGGCACCGTGATCCTGCTGGAGAACTCCCGGTACTACGTCGAGGAGGAAGGCAAGGGCAAGGATGCGGATGGCAACAAGGTGGGGATAGGGGTCAAAACAAAAAATAAATCAGGATCAAAAAAAATTAAATCAGCGTCAAAAAAATTAAACGATAAAAATACAAGAGGAGCTAGGGAAGGAAGGAAGGAAAGAAGGAAGGAAGGAAGGAGGGAGGGAAGGAGGGAGGGAGGGAAGGAAGGAAGGAAGGAGGAAAGGAAGGAAGGAAGGAAGGAAGGAAGGAAGGAAGGAAGGAAGGAAGGAAGGAAGGAAGGAAGGGGTTTTATTTTTTTGATCTTTGTGGTTTAATTTTTTTGATCCTCATTTAATTTTTTTTGATCCCTCACCCTGCTAACAAGGTGAAGGCTGACGCCGACAAGGTGAAGGAGTTCCGTGCATCTCTGGCCAAGCTGGCGGACATCTACTGCTCCGATGCCTTCGGCACTGCCCACCGTGCCCACAGCTCCATGGTCGGAGAGGGCTACCCCGTGAAGTGCTCTGGCTTCCTCCTGGCCAAGGAGCTCGACTACTTCGCCAAGGTGGTGGACGCGCCCACGAGGCCGGTGTGCGGCATCCTCGGAGGAGCGAAGGTCGCCGACAAGATCCAGCTGATCATGAACCTCTTGGACAAGGTAGACATCATGATTATCGGAGGAGGCATGGCTTTCACCTTTATCAAGGAGGCCGGTGTGGACATTGGCAACTCCCTCTACGACGAGGAGGGTGCCAAGCTGGTGCCGGAGATCAGGAAGAAGGCCGAGGAGAAGGGCGTGGAGCTAATCCTGCCTGTGGACTTCGTGTGCTCCTCCAAGTTCGGAGATGATGGCGAGATCCAGGAGGGCGACATGAGCACAGGTGTTCCCGAGGGCTTCTTGGGTCTCGACATTGGCCCAAAGTCCATCGCCATGAACGACGAGGCCATCAAAAAGTCCAAGACGATCGTTTGGAACGGTCCTATGGGCGTCTTCGAGATGGAGGCCTTTGAGAAGGGGACGAAGCAGATGATGGAGACCATCGTGGCGGTCACCAAGGAGGGTGCCGTCTCAGTCATTGGCGGAGGCGACACTGCCACGGCTTGCAAGAAGTACGACACCGTGGACAAGGTCTCCCACTGCAGCACCGGTGGTGGTGCATCTCTCGAGCTTCTGGAGGGCAAGCTCCTGCCCGGCGTGGCCGCTCTGGACGACTCCAAGGCCATGGCAGATGCTTAAACAAGTTTTGTTTTACAGGTGTAACTTTTTCCGAGCTTCAGCCCGTGTTCAGGCGGCCTCTGCGATTTTTAGAGAGCGCAGGGGTTGTTGTCCGCAGACGCGGAGTGCATGTGGCATTTCGACAGTATTGTCCACTGAGCAGTTAAAAAAGGTTCTGCGAGTCCGCGACAAGTTTGGAGAGGGTCCTACTACGGTGTGGCCAATGCGCCGCCCTGCCGAACCGCACCAACCTCGCCTGCATTTCCCGAGTTGTGAGAGTCTAGACGGACTTAAACCCATGCTTGCATCCGTCCGTGCGGCTAGTAAAGTGTGGCGTCTGGAACCTTTGCGTGTTTTTTCTGGGCTTGGGTTTATCGGGATGGGCATCTCGCTTGTCCGGGTGTCTTCGGTTTAGAAAATCTTTCATCCTTGTGCTTGGCTTAGACTGTTAGGCACGTCAGTAAAACAATTAGAGGGCTCTGTGCCAAGGCCGCCGATCCCGGCACCTCCGCAGCGGTTGCTGCGGTGAGGGCCCCAGGGGTTGCATCAGCGCGATCTGCAAAAGGGCATGCCCTAACCCGTGCCTTCAGGCTCTTGCGCTTCTTCAGCCACAACCTGCGGTTGTAGGCATGGCAAGGGCATAGGCGGCATAGGCCTTACATGCAATGTAGACGACAACCGACCGCAGGCTATGGTGCTGTGCGGCCGGTCGTGGCCCAAGCTGAAGACATGGGTTTGCAAGCATGTTCGACTATGCTCTGATCGCCTCTGTCTTTCCGAAAGCAAGGTCCATGCAGCGCCCACCTCACCGTATGCTCGTGTGCGGCAACTTTGGTCTTTCTGGCGGCACCGACACAAACATCGACCCATGGAGGCACCGCCTCCTGCAGCGGTTCCGGTGTGTGCCTTACGTGCCGGGCTGCCAGCATTTCGAGACATGCTCCGGCCACTTCATTTAGGTCCAGCCAGCCGTGTCCATCCCAGGCCGACCGGAGCCCCGAACAGTGCTTGAAGTTTCGGGCTCTCGATAGCCTCGGGTCATCTCGGATCGCTCTCTTCGAAAAATCATCTCTCAAGTGGCCTCCCAGAGATGTGTCATGCAATTGCAGCTCGCTTGGGTGGCTCTTCGTGTTGGCAGCAGGAACTTGAAAACACTGGAGTTGCGCGTTCCTGCTTGTGGACCAGACTTGGAGTTGGTGTCGGTGTGCCCTTGGGCTTCCAAGCTTGCAGGTCTGGATCCTGCAACGCTGGCTGCCATCAACATGGCTCTCGGTCTAGGAGGGCAGCCAGCCCCGCCATCTGCACCAGCAGCCTCAGCCAGAAGCCCAGCTGCCCATGCGAAGCTTCAGCAAATTTCAGCCTCCCGCCATTTTGAGCAGGTGCTACCAGCCCTCAGCAACCTACCCGGCCTGCAGGGGCTGGACCTGGGAAGTCTGGCAGGTACGCAGAAGTTGGACTTGCAAGAGCATCCGTTCAGTTGGGCTTCTCCAGTTGTCAGAGGTCTGGCGAACATCCCCGGTTTGGGGCCGGCACCTGCCAGTGCGCACTGTCCTTGGAGAAGTTGTGCCAGAGAGCAGCAAGGGACAAACGTGCAAGAGCCGTGCGACCTGTCAATACTAAGCCCTCGTTCGCAGTGTAATGCCGAAGCGAAGCTGCATTCACCTCTCACTTCAGTCAGGCTTTGCCTTTACTCGTATCTTTCGGGTGTCACAGTTGGAAACAAACGCGCGATTACAGCGATTGGCACGGATGTCCAGGAACATAGCCAGAGTGCACCGAGCGTGCAGTTCAGCTGAAGATAGTTTGCCCAAAGTTTGCCCAAAGTTTGGGGTTTTGACGTGGCAGCTGATGCTTGTCAAGCATAGGCAGCGGCTGAAGACACCGTCCAAAGGAAGCTTCGACACTGTCCTGCCCAGCGAGCAGAAACATCAGCCGCCTGAAGCAGGCAACAGGTCTCCTATCAGGCGGCCGCTGCTGCAGCTCGGCCATGGCGCAGCCTGGCAAAGACGATGGTGCGGGCACGACGTCGGCAAAGTACTCTGAGACCATGTGTCCTGCCAGCACCAGCCCTTGTCCCCCGGCACGTGTCACGTTTCAAGCGCATCCAGAATGTTTTTGCCTCTTCTTGCCGCTTCTGACGGGTAGGCAAAAGCAAATGGGAAGCAGCCTCGTGTATAAGCACGAGGAGGGCACGATGCTAGACAAGAGCACACGCTGTGCACTACTGCGTGTGCTGGACTCTGGCCCCGAAGGACGGCATGAACTATGCTCAATGCTTCGAAAGGATTTATATTGGCTCCTGCCTTCAGACTGCGGCAGACGTTGACAAGCTGCTCGGCTCGCGCAGCATCTTCAGAGTCCGAGCCTAGATGACGGTAGAGCAACAAATCCGGCTGCTGTCTCACACTTTTGGAGATCTCAAAGTGGGCGGCCAGAATGCTTTCAAGCTACAAGCCTCAAGGCTCAAGAAGGAGGGCATTGGCATCGTCTTCTGCTTGCAGGAAGACAAGGACACGCGCACATCCTGAGACTAGTCATTGCACAGGGCCTCAAAAAGTTGAAGGGACGTGTCGCGCAGTGCTTCTGCATGTCTCCAACCGCTTTCTTCTTCAAAGGACATGGCCCACTTCCACATCGACCTTGCCCCCATAGTGGCTCGGGCAAACGAGGTGGATATCCTGCACGTGAGGCGGCAGGTTTTCATTGCAAGGATAGATCTCCGTGTGTACAGCAAGTGCATGCGGAGGCACCCAATCAAAGACTTCGACCCACTTTCGCTTCGAAAGCTCCTTGGCTTCTTTAGCGACTTCATGCGAAAACTCTGAGCTCTTGGGTGTCTCCCTCTTGGGTGCTTCTTGGCTGGCTGTCTCTGGGAGAGGGCAGCTCACAGGCAGCTTCCCAGTGCGGTGCGGCGGCTCAATGCAGAGATGCTGGCACGCCCAAAGGACCTCCAATAAAAGGTAGCCAGGCATCTTAGGCTGCATCCCCATGACTCAGTCAGCTTGCCAGCTGCAGTTGGCAGGATATCGCTTACATTCACTGCACTGCCGGTCTCGGCAGGGCTCCAGCAACTGCCTTGGGTTACATGCTGCTCGGCCAATGTTCTTGCCACATGGGGTTGCAGGCGGTCTTCCCTCCTGGTTCGAAAGGAAAAAGTCAACTTCAAGATGTTCAAGTGCAGGTTTATGGTCGAGGGCATGGACCTCGACGAGGCCTACGCGCACCTGTCGCTCGGCTTGAACATTTCGGCCTCCGGTGGCTTGCGCTGGCCCAGACGCCCAGGTACAAGAGTCGAAGATGTCACCCGACGCCCGAAGCAATTGGTTGGACGTGATCGGAACGGCTCCTGCACACTGACGTTCATCTAGCGCCGCTTTGCGATTCTAGGCAGCTGAACATGGTCCGTGCTGCAGCTTGCGACACGTCCTCAGCGCAACGTCGCGGTGCGGTGAGACGTTGGGTTGGGCGTTTGCGCGGGGTGCCGGCAGAGCCTAGCATGGCCCGAGGACTTGCTGGGAGGCGGCCTGGGCACTGGCCATCTGCGCATCTCATGGACGCTCCCGAAGGCAAGGCATTCTGCAGCATTCCGCACACAGCGTCTTTTGCGCTTGGCGGTTCTTAGGCGGTGTCGGTGGAGGTTGCTGGCTTGGACTTCGGCTGGCATGAGCGCGTTCCTCTGGTGCCATGCCCAGGGCTTCTGATAGAGTGATGGAGGGATCAGGTTGCAGCCGGACAGTTTTTGTAGCTCTCGGCTGTTCGACCCTTGTTGTGAGGTCAAGAATTCAGCCACCGGTGAGTTCGTCTTGGAACGGGACACGCCGCCAGGCGTCTACCAGTACAAGTTTATCGTGGACGGCGAGTGGATCCTTGGCGTCCTCCAACAGCCTGGGTGTCCCATGCTCTTACTGCTGACCCTCCGACTACTCAGGATGGCGAATGAGGACCTGCCGACCGTATCGGACAACGGAGCCTCGGATGGCCTAGACGGGTGCTGCGAACTAATAGAAAGTGAGTGCTGGTGAGTGTGCGCTTGGTGAAGTTTTGCTAATATGCATCACGACTGCAGCCTCAGCCGGCGTTCACCATTTCGTCTCCATGCCATGGCTCACAGGCAACCTGAACAACTTGGCGCGCGTGAATCCAGCTCCCGGCAGTGCCGATTCAGAACGGCGTGAGCGCATGATGAAGAAAGGCGGTCGTCCAACGGAGGAGGAGCTGCAGTCGTGATGCTCAAACTTGCTTCAGCACTGCAGACTCTTGCAAGGAGTGGAAACTGCTGCAAAGCATGCTCGCAGTGCCGGCGGCGCCTGATGGCAGTGAGAAGCGTGGGTATACCTCGTGAAGAAAAGAGGGGGCTGCTGCTGTTTCAGCGGGTCTCATGTGTGGGGAGGGGCGCCTGCCCGCGAGTCCCTAAGGTCGGACGTGCGGCCACCAAGGAGCCTCCTGTGACTTTCCCGTAGAGCCGAGTGTGCGTTCCGCAACGCTCGGCCATAGTTTTCTGCTCGGAAGTTCGAAGCTGGGCAGCTTCGATGGGGGGCCTACGGCCTACTCAGTTCGTGGGATACTACTAGTACGGCCTTGTCGCACATGTCGCACGTATGGGGCCGGCGAAACAGGGCAGGTCTCGGGGCCCGGCAACACTTATCCCAAGCTTGTTTGTATCCCGGGGACTTACGGCCGGCTTGCCACATCAACTGAGACTCATGACGAGAGGAGTCAGAATGCGACGGAAACAATGATGATATGGACAGCTTGCCTTCGGCCGTATGCCCGCATCGCCTTCTGCGAGGAATCCTCCAGGCGTCATTGGGCGACGGCCGAAAGCCAAGGCAGCCAGCACCGCCAGGCGCTTACACACTGAGCACTGCTCCTGGTAGATCTGCTCGGCAGTTGAGCACTGAAGACTTTCCGACTTTCTGCGTGCCTTGCTTCTGCCCTCTAGCCGCTCTAGCTTCGAGGTACACGTTCCCAACCTCAGAGACGAGGCCGGCGTTGTAGGAGGAAGAGGGCCTTGGTGACACCACATGGCTCGCGCCAGGAGGTGGCCAACCCGGGAGCTTTGCTGGAGGCCAGCTGCTCAGGACGTGACATATCGGATGTAAGCAGGCCCACGAATCGAATGCCCGTAGCATACAGTATGTCTTATTTAACGATAGAAATGCTCAGCCAAGGGCGCGCTGAGTCGCCCTGTGCAGACTCGCCTGGAAGTTCAAGTTGAAGGGTCTGCACAGCCATGCGCTGAGGCAGCCGATGCACGCGACGAGGGTCGATGTCGAGCTCTCGTGGGGCCCTCCAGGATGAATGGCAAATGTCAACATCTTGGAGCATATTCAGGGTTGTTGCAGGCGCTGAGGTGGGGTTTAGGTTGGGGGTTACATCTTGGTTCCATCAGATGATTTTTTGCAGTCCTCGATCTGACGGTTGACTGGGGGGAGCGTAGGCTGCCGGAGGTTGCAGGCATGCCAGCAGCAAAATCAGAGTGTCACGATCGTGAGATGTTGCCTCAGTCTAGGTGCAGCATCCGAGTTTTCGCCACATAAATGAGAAGCTCAAGGAGCCCGTTCTGCTGCGCAAGTGATTTTCCAGCTGGATGTGTGTTTCTGCTCGTGGATACCTACCTGTACGGGGCTAGTGGAATCCCCGGTTATCCGGGTTGAGGACGGGCGAACAGCACTGCACGTGGCATGGGGCTCAGTGGCTACGGAAGCGGCGGAAGCTTGGACCCGGTTTCGAAGATGGCGAGGCCATGCTCCGAAAACTGCCGGAGGACCTGTGCCTGCTCGGCACCCAACTTTACGCAGATGGCTGGATTGAACTTAGGCACGGCATCTGTCAAGCCTTTCAGCAGTGTGCGGCTGCCTCCTACCCCTACCCTACCATCCCCGACCATCGTGCGCTGTTCAGAAGCCTGCCGTCTCTGAACTGAAGGCCGACCTGCCATGTCAAATGTAAAGTACGCGACGGCCAGCAGATGTAACTGCTCCCTGCCTTGTGGGCCTTGTTCCCTGGAAACTGCTGATGACGCTGATGACTCACGTACACTTCCAGGCAGCTTCAGCCTTCCCTCTCTTGAGCTTCGCAGACCGCTCTTCGTGTACCTGCCGGGATTACATGTGATGTCCTAGTTGGGCAAAAAGTGGCATAAGGAGGTGTTGTTTGAGGTTGCTTCATGCCAAGCCTTGAGGCTAATCACCACTTAAAGTTGAGAGCCTAACCTTCGGGTAGAGGTTGTAATTAAGGAGTCACTGCCCTGGCACGTTTATCCCTGGCGCGTTTTGAAGGGTTTGCCTCATGGTCTCCGGGCCAGAGCGACGACAGATTTGCTTGCTGTGGCCGTGTGTTGTGGCACGTTTATGCAACTTCTGGCGTGCTCGCTCAGAGCCACCTAAAGAGGGGTAAAGTCCGGCGGATCGCACCGGATTCTCTTTCCCCTCAGGGCCATCGCCACGCACAAGGACTTCAACGAAACGAATGCTGTCGACACGTGTGGCACCCGGACTGGCTCGCAGAGCCTCGCAGAGCCTCGTAGAGGCTCTAAGACTCCGAGCCTCCAGTCCGTCCGTCCACATGTGTCCCTGGAGCTTTTCTTGCACTGCACGTTGCGCCCAAGCTTTGGCTACACGTTGCTGATTCTGGCGGCCTCGAAGGGGATGTCCCAGGCAGGCAGAGGCTGCAAGTTTCTGAGGCTCGAAAGGGGTCGCGTCCGCTTCCCGGAGCTGCAGGTATGCAATGCTGTGCTCGACAGGGATGACTTCGTTGGTCTGAGCCTTTGCAACGAAAGTCGCTTCGTGTGCTGCTCCACATGTCAAATCATGTCAGCTCTGAGGCGTCAACGCCCAGGATAAGTGGGGTGCTACAGCTTTGCACTGGGCAGCCGACCAGGAAGCCTCCCGAAACGGAAAGCGCAGGAGTGGAGTCGTCCTTCTTGCAGGATCTGGCCGACGTGTGTGAGAAGATGCTCTCGCACCCCGAGTTTGTTGAAGGTAACCGCCGAGTCACGGCCTGAGTCAGCCTTTCGTAGGCCTCAGCAAGTCGTGCGGAGACGATGCGAGGCTTGGAGCTTTGCCTTTGAAGACAAGACGGCTCTAGATGTGGCTCTCCACCGAAACTGCAAGGCCGTGCAGTCCATTCCGGCAGCTGCAGCGCGATAGTGCTCTCTAGGTATCAAAAAACGTTTTCAGTCGAAGCGCAATGCAACGCAGGCAGCTGCGGACGTGATCCGGCGGCATGTAGGCCCACCGCGATAGCCTTTGAAGAGTTGCGTGAGGCAGGAATGACGTAACAAGAGTGCGCAAGCAAGACGGGTTGCAGAGAACTGGGTGGAGAGCAAGCAACTTGCTGAACGTGCCAATCGACGGTGCTGGTTCAAGCCTGTTGCGACTGTGGACCTAGGTGCCGAGCAGTGCAAAGGATCACTAACACGAAATAACATAAATAACTTTGAAACAGGGTAAGGCTGCAGCCGGAGCGTAGAAGGGGGTTTCCAAAGGAGTATGCTTTCGCTGGCTGTTGGCAAAAGCCATGGTGGAAGTGGGGGATCCGCCCGGGTCCAAGCTTTGCAGGCCGTCGGAGGTTTGCTGAACTTACGCTACCGCAGAGGCTGCTAGAGACACAGGGGTCTCAGCATCTGCGCGCGAAAGGGACCCGATGAAGTCTCGCTGCATGATCTGTCGAATGTGCCGGTGTTCAGCAATTTTGGCTCTACATACACGAATGCGCCCAACATAGACGAGGCGCAGGCTCAATGACGTCGCAAGGACCGGACCGACGGCAGTCGTTTTCCTGCTTCTGGTGTTAGCTCCCGATAAGACTACGTTTCGTTCCGAGGTAGGAGTGGAAAGAGCAAGCTCACCGTTGTCTGTTGCACGCGTAGTGCCAGGATCCTGCAGGACATTCAACGGCCGCCTGTCTGCAAGACTTTCGACAGGGATTTTTGTTCAAGATTTTGAAGGTCTGTTGTTCGAAGGTTTCGCGCCTCCCTTAAGTTGCCCCCCATCCCGAGCAGCAGTCCCTGCACCTTACCGTATCTGCCCAGGCTTCAAAGGCTGGGGCTTCATCGACTACAATGGTCAAGCCTGCATCTCAGAGTAGCAGACATATGAATAGAGTGCTACGTCGGGGTTCGAATTCGTTCGTTTTGCCGACGCCGAGCGGCAGGGTATGGCATCAGCAAGCGTTAACAGCCCTGCAGGATGTCTTCGTCCACATCAGAGACTGCCAGGGGGGTCAGCCAGCACCTGGCGACATGCCCCTCGGCAGCTTATCAGATTCTAGCATCCTCGCCGTTGGCCATATCGTCTCACGGCGCATCGGAACTTTCATTACTAGCCGAATGACTCTCACGACTTCAGAGCTGTGTGTCGGCTTCCTTGTTATCGACTTTCTAAGTCCTAGTCCTACTGATGAATATGGTGCTGTCTCAGCACAATCGTGAGGGGCCAGTGACTGTGCCGACCGGACTCACAGGCTGACTTTCGACTTGGAGGAGGGGCAGCCTGGCAAGTTCAAGGCTTCACGCTTGGATGCTTGGACTGTGTCTCTCCCTGTCTGAGTTGTGCATGTGCAGAGGGTAGAAAGAAGACAGGCCAAGAACGTTGTCGGTGGAACAGCGGAGCGAGACCAGGATTCCATGATGGGCAAGGCTGGGAAGCAACCCTTTTTTGATAGATTCTGCACCCGGGTCGTGTCAGGCCACCCCTGTCCAGGGCACCGGGGCCCACACAGGCCAGCACCCCACTCCACGCTGTGACGTAAGCCCCCTTTCGTGTTGGGCTCATCTGTCCTCTGGAGGCACTGTGAAGTCCTTCAATGCCTTCGCCCCAGGGCAGTTTCTACGCAAATGGAACAGAGACGGGATCGGAAGTAGTCGATTCTCAGAAGGCGCGCCACATGTCATGTAAATGCAGCTTCTGTTCCCCGCAGCGAGGCTACAAAGGGCTTTGGCTTTATCTGCATCGAGGGCGCAGATGACGCCTTTCGGTCTGCATGCTGTAGGAGGGTGGGAGGGTGACACAATCGCGAAGCGCGTCGACTGCAAGCCGTAGCTGAGGTCTTCGTCCACACCAAGAGCTGCGTAGGCCTAGTGGATGTCGTGGGAGTGTGGAGAGGGCAAGCCCGCGGTTCGTGGCCAAATAAACCCCTCAAGAGGAGCAGTTGTGTAAGCGAGGAGGCCCAAACTAGTGTTCGACTTGTCATCTTGGTCCTAACTATTGTCGGAGGGGCCATTGCTGTCACTGCCGCACTGCGGCCAGGCACCCTCCCGAATGCCGGCGATGTCGTCAAGTTTGACATGGAGCCCAGCCCCAACAGGCCTGGCCAGCACCGCCCCCGGCATTGCTCTAGCGACATTGGGGAGGTTGCATTCTGGTGCCCTCATTCTAGTATTGTCGCTATGCTGGCAGTCGGAGTGTTGACTCTAGAGCTAGGCAATACGTGCAACTCGTCTTGCTTATGCTGTTGCCAAAAGGTACAATGATTCATTGTCCACGTCGTCGCCGTAGTAGTGGTCGTGGTCGTGGTCGTCGTGGTGGTCGTGGCAGTGGCAATGGCAGTAGCAGTAGTAGCAGTAGT